CTCACGTTCTACATCAAGCAGACTCCTGTTACTGTATGAGGGGAGCATCCTGCTACCATGTGATTATATATGTGATAGTTGAATAGAGTCATATGTTGCTTACTGAAAATAGTAGTAGGACTGCAAATACATTTTATTCATTGATTAAGGAAACATGTATATTTGTACTTCTTTTGAGACTTTTAGCAGTTTTATTCCTGACCATCTGACCTGATATTTTTATTCTGTGCAGCTGTATTGTGCAGTTAAAGTCTAATTAAAAGTATTAGTGATGCTATTTATGCTTTCATGGCTGTTGACAAAATCTTCACAGATGTTTTTCATACTGTTTCACCTCAAGAACTGAACCCAGGGATGTAGTTTGAGCCTATGAATGCTTGGGCCTTTAAATCAAGTGTAAAATAAAGACAGACAGAGGGAGATAAAGGAATGAAGGGGCCAGGGGGGGTGGCAGGGTGTGATTGTAGAAGCCAGATACGCAGTTCAGTCCATGGGAAAAGAAGAGTGAAAAGCAGTTGATATGGAGACGGGGAGCAGACAGTCATGGAGACAGAGGGTAGAGGGAGAGAGAAAGGAAGGGATTTGAGGCAAAGAATGAGTGAAACCTTAGTACCTGAGGCGTGGGCTGAGGCCTTTAGCTGCTGGTGCCAGAATGTGTTTTTACGAGCCTGCGGTCAGACAGAAATAAAAGGCAGCCGAGCGGCTGAATGGCATCTCGCACACACGCATGCACACACGATTCAATGGCCTCTCACAGTTTGGTTTTATAATGTCACAGTTATTCAATGTCTCAAACCCCCATAATGCAGTGTTACTGAACAAGCAGCACACGGTGGTATGGATATACTCTAGGGAATAACAGAAAGACGAGAGGGAACGTTTGGAAAGAAAAAAGGCATGAGCAACACCTCTATACTCCTTGTAATGGTGCCAAGGGCATTCCTTTATGTTCCTTTCAGTCATTATACTGTATAGATGTTATGGTCAGTTAGTCCAATCATTTTGACTTTTTTTCACACTCACATTTGTGCCTTTTCTCTTTTTTTGTCTCTTTTGCTCCAACTTTGTTTTTGTCTTTTTTCTTTCTCTTATTACCAGTAACTAACAATACACCTGGCTGCTCTAATTATCATAACAACCAACCCAATAGAGTTTGAGGGTTTCAACCCATAAATGCCAGGAAATGGGAGTAAAAAAAACAGCAGTTATTTTTCTTGTAAGTCAGCGCTAGTAGAAGCAGTTATGTAGGAGACTGATGAATCAGCTAGCAGAGGTTATTTCAGGTTGGAGATGAGATCGTACAATGCAATGATCTTGTTGTAGCAAGGGACTAAAAGGGGTGTACAGTAGATCCCCAGGCCTTCTTTAGGCTAGAGGAGTGTGAGGGGTGGTTGAAGGTAAATGTAAATATTTTGGGATCAATCCTGTCAATGCGTAACGTATCCCTAAAAGGACATGTGCTGGCTCTCCTCTGTGCTGTACAGAACCCAGAGTGGTTCTCAGTGCCGTTGCTATGGAAATGCCGAACAAATGATGGGTTTGTAGAAATAGACCGAAAATATTTAAGATTTCACTACGTTTCTTTCATACACTAAGACACACTATTCTCAGAAAAAAAAGTTAGAGAAGCCAACGGTGAATCACAACCCCTAACTCTCGCTTTATTGCAGCTCAACCCCTATTTAAGGTTGGAAATCACCCAAAAAGTTCTGTTGATGCTTTGACTGTGTACAGATTTTCTCTACAAAAGGCTTAAAAGCTTCTATTCACTATATGCTGTACAAACATGTAATACAGCAGCAGTTGCACGACTAATGCTGCTCAGTCCCATGGTCCCCTACTCCCACACATATGCATGAAAATGACTCTTTCTCACCATTTCTCTCACACTCACATGGAAATAATACCGTACAAAAGTGTGCACACATTCATACCTGTATACACACACACACACAGTTATATTTTTGATTTCATGTATAGTTTGTGGTGGACATAATATTTCGTGTTTACTATAGCTGTTTGTCTTATTGAGCTTTCAGTCAATGAGGTAAACTGTCTATATTTGCGCATGCATTCATACATGTGTGTGTGTGTGTGAGAGAGAGTGAGTGTGTGTGTGTGTATGTCATTGTTCTGTAGAGGTTTAGAGGTCAGTGTGTGAAGAGGGCATTTTAGCAGCGTATTTCCCAAAGGTCCTTGCAAGGCTCAACTCAATATAGAAACTGGTGAAACTGACCCGTGTCAGCAGTTTGTACAGAAGTGTAGTGTGCATGTTGGTGTGTACAAAGTTTTTTATATAATATCTATATTAATTAGATTACAGGTGATTTGATTGGTTGTGTGTGTTTGAGAAAGATAAAGAGAAGGAGAGAGACGGTGTATTTTGTTGAGATACAGAGGGATATGTTTCTCCCTTCTGTGTTAAAGTGCTTTCAGCACTGTACTATTAGGGAGTTACTCATGACCTAGTCATGGTGTGTGTGTGTGTGTGTGTGTGTGTGTGTGTGTGTGTGTGTGTGTGTGTGTGTGTGTGTGTGTGTGTGTGTGTGTGTGTGTGTGTGTGTGTGTGTGTGTGTGTGTGTGTGTGTGTGTGTGTGTGTGTGTGTGTGTGTGTGTGTGTGTGTGTGTGTGTGTGTGTGTGTGTACTTGTGCGTGTGTGTACTTGTGCGTGTGTGTGTGGACTGTTTGTAAGTGTTTGTTTGCCAGTCTTCAGGGTCTAACCATAAAAAGGATGTACTCAGCCATATAGTTCACATTTCCACTTATAAATGCTCTCACACACACACACACACACACACACACACTCACTCACTCACACTCACACTCACACTCACACTCACACTCACACTCACACTCACATTCACACTCAACAATACTCAAGCTACCCAAAAATATATTTTCATTCCCTGATGCGAAGTTAATCTTCCTTGATCCTTAAAGCAGTTGTCAAGCCCTTAGCAGGTGGCCTGAATGCTAGGAAAAAAGTTAGGTGAGAAGGTTCTCTCATAAGGGAGTTTTAAGTATTTCTTATTGTACTGGTAGAGTCCACCTTTGCTGCCCCGGATTCAAATTGTGTTTTCAAGCACAAGCAATTCACAGGAAGCCATTCAGGCACAAAAGTGCAAAATGTTCCTCTGACACGTACTGTAGTGCAATGGGATTATAGTTGCATAAAACACAAGGACCTTAATAAAATACCCTCAAAGTTGTAATTAAGTGCACTTGTTGAATTTTTGTATACTTAGACAAGAGGTATTTATCGAAGGAGACTTCACCATGGAGAGGTTACATGTGATGAGACAGACAGTTATGTTATTATCTGTGAATATGTGAACATTATGTGTGTGTTCTGATAGTAAAACCAATATAAATGGGTTCATAGTGTTGCTTAATTGATGAAGAATAGACATAGATGTAGACATATTGATCATAAGTAAATCAAGGCAAAACAAGACATCACAGTCAGCGCAGACAAAGTGATGTAGTAGAGCAGTGTTTTATTGCTGTGGACTCCTCACTTTTCATAAGGGGGGAGAGTGAGAAGGATCATGGGGGGGCCCCAAAGAGACCCTTTAAAGATGGAGACGCCACTTCAGAAAAACACTCAGCCCTTACAAAATGGAGGGAGGAGAGAAGTGTGAGTCGATAGAGGGTGAAGGCCAACAATAGATATCAGATTTTCCACAGAATTAGTTGATGGTGTGTGTGAGTGCGTGTGTGAGTGCGTGTGTGTTTCTGTCTGCCTGTGTGTATCTGTGCGTGGATGTGTGTGTGTGTGGCACTAGCGGTGTTTAATTTGACCACTTGCCAGCTGGAGCTTGGGTGTTATTCCCTCAGCTCCAACAGCTAGATGCTGAAATACTTCCTGTTTTTGAGATCAGGTATTTCCCAGCAGCACTAGGAGGTTGTTTACCAGAGACGGCTTTAAATGGATTGGCTTTTCACAAAATATATAACACTCACATAGCAGCTGTTTAATCTTTTCTGGGTGTGTTTTTCTGAATAAGAGTTTTGTCTGTATTCGTCTACTGTGGCACTCTTTTTTTCCTCTTGCTGTGTCACTTTCACACGCAGACACAAACACACGTTATACCTATTTTCACATCATTCCCGCAGGGCTGTCAGCCATTAATTGTGTCCCAGACTGGGACCAGTGAGAAAGTGTGGTTGGGATTTCTGGTTGTAAGAAGCAGAGGCAGGCAAGGCTGGGCACAGCTCTCTCCAGAGGAGGAAGTCTTTCTCTCAAATCCATCCTCAGAATAATCGTCCAAATTCACCGCTGACTTTTTTACTGTCCCTGAAGATGTTAGTCATTAGAATACATTTGATTGTTTCCTTTAGGTTTACCTCTGGATAGCACAATCAGTCCTCACGCTATCAAGCAACAACGCGGCATTTCCTATCTCTTGAAAACCTTTATTCTTCCTCAAATGTTAGGCTCTGTCATCGCTGTAACAAAGACTAAATATTCTAGAGGATGTCTTTTCTTGGCGTTAGTGCTGCTCGCTTTGTTTAGCTACAATAGAACAATATCAAGAAAGACAACTTCATAGCTTTGTTCACTTCACTGCGCCCTCAATTCAAATGTTTTATTTTCCCTTCATCTGTCCTTTTTTGCCTATTTTGTAATATTTCCCAGTTGCACATATTACCATATTTATTTAATCACCATTTCAGCTCAGTTTTATTAGGCTACCATTTCCGTCCGTTTGAAAGGCTGCATTAACTGCTTGATTTATATTGCTCTTTTTTCATAAAGCCTTCTCCCAGCTCTGAAAATATGTGAAACTAACTGTTAGATAAGATAATAAAGAAAAGTGTTTGAGAACCGACTCACTGCATGCAATATGTTTATAATGTTGCTAGTTTAGTAGTTTGAAACTGCTATTATTAGAGGGATATTATTTTTCGCTCATAATATCCAATTATATGTCTCAATATATTTTATTCGGTTGTATAAGTCAGCACTATTAATCTCACAAATTGTTTTGTCTCCTCAGCTGACATCAGAGCAGCTAGTGGTGCTTTTGGAGCTGCTGCTGGAGGAAGAGGAGCTCAACGTGCCCACAATGCTCGCTCTGCAGAGAACTTACAGCCTACAGGATCAAGATGCTGAGGTACACACACACACGCAAATATTCATCCACACACACATGCTTAGACAAGTGAGCATATGTCCAAGCCCCATGATCCCTTCCCATAATGAAATGTAGATAGTTTCTTCCTTCTTTCCTTCCATCCCAAGACACACTGCTTTGTAATGTGTAGTCAATTCTCCTGTACTGGCAGCTCTCTTCTTTACAGCCACCATTACTGACTAAATCCCACAAGAATTCGCTTCATGTTTTTAGTACTGCACAATCCTTAATGGTACCATTAACTGTGTGTGTGTGTGTGTGTGTGTGTGTGTGTGTGTGTGTGTGTGTGTGTGTGTGTGTGTGTGTGTGTGTGTGTGTGTGTGTGTGTGTGTGTGTGTGTGTGTGTGTGTGTGTGTGTGTGTGTGTGTGTGTGTGTGTGTGTGTGTGTGTGTGTGTGTGTGTGTGTGTGTGTGTGTGTTTCTCTTATCTGTGTTTGTGCACTGCAGCTGTATATGCTGGCAGCTTAGGAGTTCTTTACTGTACAGCCTGAGTGTGAAAAAGCAGCTGCAGGAGAGCTCTTAAACTGTCCACAATAACTTCCATCGTTAACACATGGCCTGTCTTGAAAAGAAAAATATGATACATATTTAGTTTTTAACAAGACCTTATTAATTATATGAGCTGTTTAGTTGGAGCATTAATGTATATAATCGGGCTCGTATGTTCTGTTGTCTGTGGCCAATTGAGCGATTATTGTTAAATCCAGACATCTAAAGTTTCATTTTAGGATTTAAAAAAATTATTTAGTCGGGGCAGTAGTTCAAGTTCTCACATATAAAAAGTAGTATCTAATTTATCAGTTTCTAGCTAGAAGTTTGTTTCAGTGACTTGAATCTGTTCTTAATGTTACTGTCTAGCCTTTTTTGTTAAATAACTTCGAGGTCAACGAGCCACTTAGCATTTTTCCTCGGGTCCAGCTTTAGGTGCTCAGACTTCCTGGCAAAAGAAAGCAGATCCTCATCTGCAATTTCCAGGAACAACTTCAGTGTTTGCTACAAATACACAGGGCCATTATGCACAAAGTCATGCTTGGACACACACACCCACTTTCTCTCATACACAAACATACACACTCCTGCACACACCTGTGTAAAGGCAATGGTCCTTGTCCTAATGTTAGGAATCTCATTCAGAAGAGGTTAATCACCTATGTCTCCTTGTGGCCATTTATTCTCTTCCCTTTCTCCTTCTCTTGCTGCCGCTCGGATCCTATTCAGCCTCTCGCTCAGCCTTTCTAAAACTGGTATTGCATCCTTTAAATTAATCATTTGTTTAAAATGATTGCACAAACAGGAGAATGAGTGCAGTTCATCTTGTTATTCCATCGCTGTTTACCTCGTAGGCAATGAGAGCTTTTCAGAGTGGATGGATATTTTGAAGTTATCAGTCATCTGAAGAGCGCTTAGTAATACATCGACTGAGAGCATTGTGTGATAGAACTCGACATATATTGTCTATTCTATAATAAAATGGTATTATCAGTGCATAGAGTAAAAGCTCTCCTGGTGACGATTTCATATCACATAAATAATCGACTTTCCTGGTGAGCTATTTAATCTATTTGATAAGCTTTCTCCTCATTACTTTAACCTAATCTGGTGACATGAGCACAGTATACTGTTACATATTGTCTCATCACATTCTATTTGCTACATATTCACTCCAAACAATAGGGTTAAGTTTAGTGTGATATGTGGTGAAGACTCTTGTATCTGGGTGAAAGGTGCTGAGAAGATGGCGTACAAGCTGAAGACTCTGTGTGTGTGATTTGCGTGAGCGTGAACACGATAGCTGAATGAAATATGTGGCTGACCACCAGTGTGCGTGCAGTGGGACTGCTTTGTGAACGGTGTGAGTGACCATGAATATATGTGCGAACGTGCCCATGAGCCAGAGCATGTGTTTGCATGTATGAGAGAGAGAGCATGACTTTTCCCATTCCTTTCATATGAGCCTCATGTGATGTGAGATGCTGTGTGACTCTGTCTGGCTCTGTCTGTGTCGTAAGCATGAATGTATGTGTGTAGCTTCGTGAGAGCGCTTCTGATTTTGTGAGAGCGTAGCTTGTGTGTGCTAAAGGCCATCTGTCGGTCAGGCACACAGCACGCATTGTCTGTTTGTGCCCAGGTTAGGCTTACTCCTCCAGTGACTGGATACTCTGCTGGACCACATCAAGTCTGGTTCCACAACAACATGTGGAGTGGAGAGGAGGACAGTTATTAAGAATATACCAAGGAGTGTCAGGAAGTCAACTCAAGTTTATCCGTTTAGCCTTTCATCCCAAGGACAGTCTCGGTGGGATTCGCAGAGTGGGAACATAAACAGGTCCTAAACTAGAAAAGGTTCCACGAAAAATGAAGGATCACAGAGGAGGGAATCCTCATCCAGGCCTAATAGGTGCCAATGGGCAAATTACCAGAATATAAAACAAAAATGGCAACTATAATTAGATAGTTTCATAGATCACAGATCTAAAGTAAAGTTGAAACAGTTATTAAAATATGTGTTGATTCATTTTCTGTCAATAAACGTATCCATTATTCAACTAAGTTATAATTTGTATGCAGAAAGGAAGTCACCCCTTCTGCCAGCCTGAACATAGTCACAGTGAAAGTAATGTTTTTTGACAAAATAAGGAATTTGTAGGCATTATTTTGGGGTTTAGGAAATAGAAATTAGCAAACTAATCAGTTATGATTATTATTTTTAGTTTCAACACTAGTTAAAAGGGAAGTTGAGGGGGTTAATTATAAACAAATGTGCTGTATGTCTTACATATGTTTTACAATAGTATAATAATTCCTGTCTTTGTCCAGAATGTCAGTATATGAGGCTGTGTCTGGGGGTCCAATCTAATACACAGCATGTAGACAAATCGAGACTACTGTAACACTGCATTCACACCTTTCCTCTGTCTAGTGTCGGCCTATTTAACAGATTCTTTGTTTTGTCATGGTAAGTGCGAGCACACACGGATTGTGTTAGTGTATGTGTTGGAATCAGTGGCGGTGCAGGGTGAAGGAGGGGCAGGGGGTGCAGCAATAAATGAAGGAATGTCACCGTGTTATTGCATGTGCTGTCAGAGAGGGAGGCCCAGCGAGAGGAAAAAGGGGTGAGGAGAGGTGCACCAGGCAGCTGCTCTGCCCCAGGGCTCTCCCCAGGAATGTTACCCAGCGCAGGGAACAGCTGCCGGGGCTACGCAGGCCAGAAGGGCAGGGCTGGCACCAGAGGGCACACATACTGTACACACTTGTGCACACATTCAAGAGTACACACACACATATCCTTGTTCCCATGTGGGCATGTTCACCCAGCTTTTACTCTTTGCTTTTTTTTGTTATGTTGGATTTGGAATTTTTGCAGCCTTTATAAGTAAACTGAGAAACAGTTTATATGGTTTGAGGAGGATTTTAATTTGGACTAGAAAGCCCTTCTGAGACCAATTAAACTCATGTTTATTTAGAAGGTTGCCGAGGTAATGTGAGGATTTAAATGTGGCTGTTCTTAATGGAGCATTACTCCATCTTCATTATCATGCAGCATAATCAGGTGGAGGGCAGCACAACATTTTTGGCACAAAGCAAAAACTAATATTAAGAGGTTTAAAAAAAAAAAACAAGTAAATCCATTTGGCTCCTTTCTTTAATGCCAACACTAAATGAATATCTAGTACAAGCGCTGTAGCAATGCCCAAAGCTTGAGCCGTTGAAAAAGAATCACACACTTGGTCACTGTACTCTCCAAAGGACTAGTTTATTATCCTGAGTGAGTGGAGATCGTTGTGGTGGAGAGTGAAAACAATTATAAAAAATGAAAAAACAGTCAGGCTTTAAAGTAGTGACAGTGCTTTAACAGATTTTTCATCTAGATTTGTTATCGCTCTTCCGTCTCCTCTATCATCCCGTCTCCTCCACACGAATGTATCCATGTACACATGCACTGTGTATCTATGCACACCAACATGCATGCACGTGCACGCTCATAGTAGATGATGAAGGGTGATGGCAGTGGCAAGGCCCGAGCCAGTCTCTGATCTCTCCTGTAACCGCGGCAACAGAGCTCCTATTGATCCTCTCGGAGACAGGCCAGGCATTAGTTTTCACTCACAAATACACACATACAATAAAAACACATAATACACACACACACACACACACACACACACATACAGGGTGTCAGAAAATAAATACAATTGTTTAAGAAGAACTTTTGATTGAGACGGTTTCCTTTCTAATACATTGTTCTTGTCTGATAATCCTACGGTTCTGGATGAATCAATTCATTGTTCTCAGCTCTGTCTCTCAGTTTGTCAGATGAGCCATTTGTCTTTTTTTCTGCAATTGAGGAAGACCTGTTCACAATAAACTGAGGGCACTGGCCAAAAAACTCATCCCAATGAGCTACTATTTTCTTTACGGCCTATTTTACTCAATATTCTGTCTTTGCTTGACTTCTGCGTTGGTCCAAGTGGACAGCATCGTGCTGCCATTTTTGCATTATACCAAATAATTTATACAGTATCTAATTTTCAACATTTTAACTAAATAAATACCTTTCCGATTCCATTCAAAGTTCTTGTATTTTCCCTCTGTTTTGGTTTCCAGGTGCAACATCGCTGGTGTGAGCTGGTGGTCAAACATGCGTACACTCAGGCTTACGGAGACGTGGAACACTTTCTTGTTAATTACCAGGTCAATAGACTCAACGGTTGAACATGATGCCCTGTATTATACAATGAAACTGATTTAAAATACAGCTTCAACCTTAGAAAAATAAACTAAGTGATTGTGTGTGTGTTCTAGGCCATGGGTGTGTATCTGTACGGGGAGCTGATGGTTCAGGAGGACCCTCAGCAGCAGGCT